AGCTTCTACTGTTTCAGGAAAATCGTTATTGTAGAACATGGTATTTTTAATTAACTACTAGTTGTCGTACGTCAACAATCAAGCAAACGACCCTGTACTGTATAAATAAAAAACATGATTCTAATGGTCTTCATATATTTTATGCATTCAGCAAATAGTGCACAATGTAAATAATTCGTGAAAAATTTAAGTCTGGATTGTCAATTTTGCAATACAGTATTGATTTAGTTCCGAATTTGTTAATTTTATTTTAAAAAACGGCAAACATTTGACAATACGATTTACATATATGTTTTCTATGTAAATGAGGTCTAACCAGGGGCGTATCTCCGATTTATGTATAATATGTCAATGGATAATTACATAAAACGATATGCAACTTTTGATTCAGGATTAATTTTGCCAACTGGAAGTACTATAACTTTACTAAACAGTGGCAAATCGATATAGAGAGAGATAATATATATATAATATATATATAATATATATATATATAATATATATATATATATATATTATATATATATATATATATATAATATTTATATATATATATATATATATATATATATATATATATATGTATATATATATATAAAGGGTGTCCCAGACTAATTTACCCACGCTATATTTTTTAAACGAATAGAGATTTTCAAATGGGACAAAAAGTGATCTATTCCATTTGTAATACACTTTAATATAGCGAAGAAAAAATCATCCCCTAAATATTCATCCCTTAGTTACAACCCCTAACTTTAATTTTTTTAATAGCACCCTGTATATTTTTTTATAGTTTTGGATGTGATCTTCTATCGTCTATTCAACAGATTTATTAAAAATAAAATCGGTTTGTAACTAATCAAGAAATCAATTAATTTTTTATTTTTGTTAATTAAGTGTCCCAGACTAATTTATCCAGGTTATATTTATTAACAAAATAGAGATTTTTTAAAGCGTCGAAAACTTGTATATTCCATTTGTAATACACTTTAATATAGCGAAGAAAAAATTATCCTCTAAATATTCATCCCTTAGTTACAACCCCTAACTATAATTTTTTTAATAGCACCCTGTATATTTTTTTATAGTTTTGGATGTGATCTTTTATCGTCTATTCAACAGATTTATTAAAAATAAAATCGGTTTGTAACTAATCAAGAAATCAATTAATTTTTTATTTTTGTTAATTAAGTGTCCCAGACTAATTTATCCAGGTTATATTTATTAACAAAATAGAGATTTTTTAAAGGGTCGAAAACTGGTCTATTCCATTTGTAATACACTTTAATATAGCAAAGAAAAAATTATCCTCTAAATATTCATCCCTTAGTTACAACCCCTAACTTATTTTTTTTAATAGCACCCTGTATATTTTTTTATAGTTTTGGATGTGATCTTCTATCGTCTATTCAACAGATTTATTAAAAATAAAATCGGTTTGTAACTAATCAAGAAATCAATTTCTAATTGATTTAATTTATCCCAGGTTATATTTATTAACAAAATAGAGATTTTTTAAAGGGTCGAAAACTGGTCTATTCCATTTGTAATAAACTTTAATATAGCGAAGAAAAAATTATCCTCTAAATATTCATCCCTTAGTTACAACCCCTAACTTATTTTTTTAATAGCACCCTGTACATTTTTTTTCTAGTTTTGGATGTGGTCTTCTATCGTCTATTTAACCGATTTTTTTTAAATAAAATGGGTTTGTAAGGTATCAAGAAAATATTAGTTTATTTTTTATTTTTGTTAAATTAATCAACGGAACATAACATCAACCACACTGGAAGATAACGTATGCTCCTACAAAGACCAAATTTTGAAAAATTAAAATAATATTTAAATAAAAAGGGTGTGTGTAAGAAGTTGTACTACTAATATTACTTTTCTATTCTATTTTTTAAGGCTATCTTGATTAATTTAACAAAATAAAAAATAAACTGATATTTTCTTGATACCTTTTTACAACCCATTTTTATTTTTAAAAATCGATTAAATAGACGATAGAAGACCACATATAAAACTATAAACAATGTACAGAGTGCCATTAAAAAATTTAAGTTAGGGTTTGTAACTAGGGGATAAATATTTAGGGGATGATTTTTTTCTTCGCTGTGTTAAAATGTATTACAAATGGAATATATCAGTTTTTTGTTCCTTTAAAAATATCTCGTATTTTGTTGAGAAATATAGCCTGGACAATTTAGTCTGGGACACTTAATTAACAAAAATAAAAAAATTAATTGATTTCTTGATTATTTACAAAACGATTATTGTTGCTGCGAAATATACAAAACGAATATACAGGGTGCTATTAAAAAAATTAAAGTTAGGGGTTGTAACTAAGGGATGAATATTTAGGGGATGATTTTTTCTTCGCTATATTAAAGTGTATTACAAATGGAATAGACGAGTTTTTGACCCTTTATAAAATCTCCATTTTGTTAATAAATATAGCCTGGATAAATTAGTCTGGGACACTTAATTAACAAAAATAAAAAATTAATTGATTTCTTGATTATTTACAAACCGATTTTATTTTTAATAAATCTGTTGAATAGACGATAGAAGACCACATCCAAAACTATAAAAAAATATACAGGGTGCTATTAACAAAATTAAAGTTAGGGGTTGTAACTAAGGGATGAATATTTAGGGGATGATTTTTTTCTACGCCATATTAAAGTGTATTACAAATAGAATAGACCACTTTTTGTCCCATTCGAAAATCTCTATTCGTTCGTTTAAGAGATATAGCGTGGGTAAAATTAGTCTGGACACCCTGTATTATATATATTATATGTATATATATATTTACAATATATATAATATGTCACGGTAACCACTATAAACGCGATAAATACGCACAGTACAACAATAGTGTACTTACTGATTATATTCAACAAACATGTCTGCATTCATGTTTTCATGGTAATCAGGAGATTTGATTTTGAAGAAAAAAATCAAATCTGCGTATTCTATAAAACATTCTTTCTCTCCAGCATGAAGAATGATGTGTCGTTTGCCTTCGCTATCTGTGGTTTTTATTGATTTTATGCTGTCGTCTTTCCAAATTCTTTTAATTCCATGTATCATCTAAGTATACGAATGTTGCATTTTCAGATTTAAGTCTAGTATATTCTCTCTTTTTCCCTTGGCATTCACATTTGTAGACTTTAAAAAGGCGTTTGATACAGTGGAACTACCGTCCATCTTAAGAGCACTACAAGATTGCAGGGTCGACCAAATATATTGTAATATAATTAAAAATATATATGAAAATGCCACAACAACCATAAGTCTACATTCTCCAACTAATAAAATAAAGATAAAAAGCGGAGTCAGGCAAGGTGATACCATGTCACCAAAGCTGTTCATTACCGTTTTTGAGTATGCATTTAAAAGACTAACATGGCAACAGAAAGGAATATCCATCGATCGAGAAAGATTAAACCACTTACGTTTTGCGGACGATATCGTGTTTCTGTCAGATAATCTGGAAGAGATCAAAGACATGCTCCAAGAACTGAATGACATACTACAAGAAACTGGGCTGGAGATAAATTTCGAGAAAACCAAAATGATGACCAATATGGTTCCCAGCGAAGAGATACAGATCAATAACAACAAGGTAGAATTAATCGTTAAATACACATCTTGGGTCATGAAATTAGAATAACCAGAGACAACCAAACCTGCGAGCTAAATAGACGAATCACGTTGGGATGGGCGGCATATGGAAGGATGAGAGACATTTTTAAAACAAATATCCCAATTCACCTGAAAAGGAAGGCATTTAACCAATGCATCCTACCAGTCTTGACCTACGGAGCAGAGACCCTAACTTTAACGGAAGTAACTGCCGAAAAACTGGGGGTAACACAAAGGTGAATGGAGAGATCAATGCTGGGCCTAACCTTGAAAGATCGCGTGAGAAATGAGGAGATACGCCGACGAACTGGCGTAGACGATATTATACTGTGAATCAATAAACAAAGGTGGAGGTGGCTGGACATGTTGCTAGAATGGAAGACGGAAGATGGACGAAGAGATTATTGGAGTGGAGACCAAGAGCCGACAAGCGAAGTCGAGGCAGACCACCCACCCGATGGACCGACGACCTAAGGACAATAGAAACAAACTGGATTGCAGCAGTTAGAGATAGAGAGAACTGGAGACGTTTGGAGGAGGCCTATATCCAACAATGGATGTAAAAATGGGACTGGATGTTGATGATATTCTCTCTCTAGACAAAATTTAATTCTTTTGTGAACCACACAAAATATTTTCAACCACACACATTTATTTTCCATTTCACTTGGAATTGAAATCCTAAATCTCTCAACACTTTCGAAAGGCTAGTCCTCTTAATTTCACAAACTTGTCTTTCTCTTATTTTGACCAGTAAAGTATGTAAAGTGACATGTTATTTGTTTTCACGCATTCGATACAAAATATAGTGAATTTCAAATTTTTCTCCATCATAAGTCAATGCTACAAAGAATTTTTGTTCCTGTAGAGTTGCTCTCTTGTCTTCGTGATACTCAGTCACAGTAAGATCTTCCTGAGAATCTCTGACAATATTCATTACAGTTTTTAGATTACTTTAGATTCATTTATAAACCATTGTCATCGACCTAGGATCACATTATAATTTAAATTTAAATATGTAAACCATATATTGATGTCCCCACTGCAATGTTAGTGTTGTCTACAAGTACCAAAAGGCACTGAGGATGATCTGAGCTAGATCGAAAACGTTATGTATCTGTAGATTTTGGACGACACTTTTAACAAGTTTGAATTAAATGTTGTTATACCAATATACAAATTTTGAAGTTTTTTACTTCTGTATAAGTTTTTAACTATGATATACAGCCAACTACTAGGATTTTCCCATTAATGTTTATATTCTGATAAAATTACTTTCTAATGACGTTGTATATTGAAAATATTTTTTTAATCACAAATATTTAATAATATATTTTATTTTTTAGTGGTGTCCATCCTCATAGCGCTCATTATATACCCTGTATGTTTTGCAGCAGAACTCAACTTGGGTAAGTTTTTTTAATATTCGTATGTCACGTCACATTTATGCTAGTGACACATATTTCCAGGATAGTATGTGTCCATAGACATATAAAAGTGGCTTATCACCGATCGGCGAACAGAACAGATGTAATGTTTGATTATATCATAAAAAGGCCACTCAGGCTTGTAAACATCATTGCCTTCTGTATGTCGACATTAATTTTAATTCTTTAATCGAAATAGTACTATTCTTCAGTTGATTTTTTATTCGGTTCCATATATCGTATGCATCGTTCCGGTTCTTATGCTCTGGCGCCGTGGAATTTCATAAACTTGGTTCATTTTGATACAAATTTAAAAAATCAAAAATAACTTCGTTTGTTTATTCCATTTTTTAGCAAAAAAACTGCAAAACAACTTTGACAACACTACAAACAACAACTCGTGTCAGTGATTGAAAAACTTCTGACTTGCACTTGTCGTTTGTTAAAACACTGACGCGCTAGGATCGCGTCGCACGAGCATGTACCCGACTCTAGATGGATAGGACGCACCAGCACAGACGTGCCTGTGCTACCACGGACGAGACCTTTCCCACGGTGCGTGGTGCGGGCTGGTCCGCTTACGTCCGCAATATCGCCGACCGTGGGAAGCCGCTATAATAAATGCAGACTGCTGCAATTCAGTCGTGTTATCCAAGTGCGATAGAGAAAACTGGCTCAAAGCATTCACTACATCTCTTTGTAATAGGCCAAGTTTATAGACCACGTGATCTTCCTCTTGGTCATTAATATCACAAGGTCGATAAACCTGTCCTATTAGAATGAAATTCAGAGACTGCTTTTGCGTCAGTTTTCTCTGTCGCACTGGGGGAACACGAATGTATCTAGTGCAGCAGTTAGTCTATGCATATCTCACTTTCCATAACCTAAAAACACAGATAGTTTGAAAAGTAAATTAAAATTAGTTCAATATTTCTAAATACAGATACAACAACAAAACTATTTGGTATTATAAGTATTATAAAATATTATAAAATTGACAGTTAAAGTAAGAACTTGTCGCCTAAAATTATGAGTTTCAGAAGTCCATAAAGATGCCGATGTTTCTGGTTTTTCTATATCGGACAATATATTAAGAGTTTTTACCATGATACTATGACTAACAAGATATGATCTTCCCGTAGCTTAAAATCGGTCGTGTTCACGCATGCCGTCGTTGGAGAGTAGAATTTGAATTCTTGTTATAGTTAAATGGGATTTGTATGCATTCTGTGATGAAAATATTCAATTAGCAAAATAATATTAAATGACTTTTTTTAAATATTATTTATTATTTGTGTACAAAAGAAAATAATAATATAATATTTAGAAAATTATAAGAAGAATCTAGACGAAAATAAGTTAAGAGGTTTAATAATTACAATAATCGTACACATAAGGATATCTCCAAACTATGTATTAAATATTATTTATTGATACATACAAAAAACTGACATTACGAACGTGCTGCTCTCCAATGACGTCATAACTTATGAGCAATATCTTATCTTCTTAGTCATAGTATCATGGTTTTTACTTGTCATGTACAGTGGCGCACCCAGGGGGGCGGTTTGGGGGTCACAAATTTTAAGGAATTAAAATTAAAGTAGCATCATAAAAGCATTTCGGTGCCCAACCAAAAGCCCCCAGGTGCGCTACTGGTAATGTAATGAGTTTTCAATATATCCATCTTTATACACTAGTAATGTCGCTTAAATACGCATAAAACATTATCCTGTAAATAGGCTGCTGTTTTGTTGAGTAACTTCCGATTTCCGATATAAAAAAGTTGTTTTGTAAGTTTTCAAAACCTAATGTGTAAAAAAACTATCATTCTCTACTTATCCCATAAAGGGAGATTTACTTAAATTATTAGGATATCGATTTGTTGAAATATATAGATCACCTATTTTTATTTTTAAAAGTGCATCACACCTGCACCCCACTACAAGGGGTTTTGAAAAACAATCTATATAGAGTTCCCTTAGTACAATGTGATTTGTTTGTATTCCCTAAAACTGAAAATGTCACCGTTTCGATGACTTAAAGACGAATCAATCGAATGCCACGATGACACTGCAGCCTATTTCAAAAACTGAATTTAAGAACTGCTAAAAGCAGTTTCTAAAGGACCAATGTAGTCACAGTAAAATCTTATTCTTCTTCTAAAGGTGGGTGCCTATGTTCTAATGATGTAGTGATCAGTTAAAAATAATACAGAAAGGAACATGAAAATCACCTAACAACTAAACCGTTACCCAGATCGATCACTAGATCCTAGTAGACGCAAGGCATTCTTCCGACCTCATGGATGTCAGAAGCTACCGAGGTCCAAACGTAGATAGTGACCATCATCATCATCATCATCCAGCCTCTAGTTATCACGTCCACTGCTGGACATAGGCCTCCCTTAAACTCCTCCCATTCCTCACGATTTTGTGCTCTTTGTTGCCAATTTTTAGTGATACGCCTGATGTCGTCGGCCCAACGTGTAGGTGGTCTTCCTCTACTGCGTTTGTCTGCTCTTGGCCTCCAATTTGTAATTTTGCTCGTCCATCGTGAATCGTGCATTCTCGCTACATGGCCTGCCCAGTTCCATTTTAGTTCCGCTATGCGTTGCCACAACATCAGTAATACTCGTCCTTCTTCGCAGATCTTCGTTTCTTATTCGGTCCCTCAACGTCACTCCCAGCATAGACCGTTCCATTCGTCTCTGTGCCACTCTCAGTTTCGAAGCCGTGGTCTTGGTTAAAGTCATAGTTTCCGCCCCATAGGTCATGACCGGTAATACGCATTGGTCAAACACTTTTCTTTTGAGGCTGATTGGTATGTTGGCCCTAAGTGTGTCTCGCAGTTTTCCAAGGCTGCCCATGTTAAAGTAATTCGTCTTTGGATCTCACATGTTTGGTTATCCCTGCTGATTCTTATTTCATGACCCAAATACGTATATTTCTCCACCAGTTCTACCACTTTGTCTTGAATAGTCAATGGTTATTGGGACCAATTTGTCATAAACTTACTTTTGGTCAAGTTCATTCTCAGGCCACCTTCGAACATGCAAAATCCAATTCGTTTAACATATCTGTAGCTTCTCCTAAATTATCTGTGATAAGGACAATGTCATCTGCGAAACGGAGATGGTTAAGCTTTTCGCCGTCTATCGTTACTCTTCTGTGGTCCCAATTGATCATCAGTCTAATTCGATCGTGTCGAACGCTTTATAAAAATTTATGAAAGTGAGAACAAGAGGTTTGTTATATTCTATAGATTTTTCAATGAGTGTCTTTACTGTGTGGAGTTGATCATTGGTACCATAATTTGAGCGGAATCCTGCTGCTCTCTCGATTGGTAGAAATCTAATTTTTTCTCCAATCTTGATGTCACTACCCTAGTGAAGAGCTTGTATATGTGGTTCAACAGGCTAATATGTCTATAATTTTCTAGGTCCGTTCTATCTCCTTTTTTATGCAAAAGGATGGTTGTAGCATTGTTCCACTCTTTGGACACCTCTCTTTGCTGCAAACATAGATTGAATAGTTTCCTTAATTTATTTAATAGCATATCTCCTCCATTTACGATAGCTTCTATTACCATTCCATCCTCTCCTGGGGCTTTGTTATTTTTCATTTTTCTTAATGCTTGTCGAATCTCATCTAGCTTTATCTCTGGCATTAGTTCGGAACCTTGATTCTTGATCTTCTTTGAAATGGCTGTTTGTATTCCTGTTTTATCTTCTCGTCTACTTCTATATAAGTCCTCGTAAAACTCTTCGACGACCTGTATTAACTCGTCTCTACGTGATATTATTTCATTTTGCTTGTTTCTTAATTTATGAATTTCGCATTTCCCATTCGTTAGCTTTCTACGTAGAACTTTTAGGCTGTTATTTTCCTCTATGTGCGTTTAATATAATCGGTATTAAAATTCCTTAAATCTCTCCTAATTGCTTTCAAAACAGTTTTGTTCATTTTTCTTAAAGTGTTGCTATCTACATTCTTATCGCTTCTCATTTGTCTTCTTTGATCCAAGAGCGTTTCAGTACATGGACTTATTTTACTATCTGATTTTCTTTTAGGACAGTGCACTCGGTGACTTTCTTGTAAGACGTTTATGATGCAGTTATTCAAGTCGTTAATATCGTTGGATAGTGACCACTTTCTTGTAATGGCAAAAATCAGAGGATGAATATCAAACCTAAAGAAGATTAAACGTATGAAATAAGACAGAATTAAATGTTAATAATCTGCGCATTGAAACCGTTGCGAAGAGTGTAGGTGACAAATGGATGAGGAAATAAAGATCCTGGAGGCGGGGGAAAATGTGGAGGGATTGTGGACAAAATGTAGAAATATAATAACTAAGAAAGCATCGGAAATATTGGGGAAAATCAAACCAGTTAGACAAAACGAATGGTTTGACCAAGAGTACCAAGAAGCAACAGATAACAAAAATATAGCATACATAAAGACAAATCAAGTTAGATGCACAAGAACAGCAAAGGAGGAATGCCGGACCCTAAGAACAGTAGAAAGAAGATTACATAGAAGAAAAAAAAAGGGCAATTTGAATAAAAGCAGGGTTAAGAAATCAAAAGGAAACTTGAAAGTTCTACAGAAATGTAAACAAAATGAGTACAAAGTTTAAGCCAAGAATTGGGAGCAGTAGGGATGGAGAAGGAAATATCCTAAGTGATAGCATAAATGTAGAAGACGTTTCTGTTAGAGGCATGGTTACGAGGGGGTGTTCACAGGGAGGGGTGCTATCAGCACTCTTCTGGAACATAGTTCTAGATACCTTGGTTGACCAACTCGGCAGCAACGTATATGCTTGGCCAGCTAGGATATACGTCTACGTCCTGGGCCTCTCTTGCCCGCAATCTTGCCTTTTGGAATCAAAGGTAGAAGTCGGTTAGGAATCTTAATAATGTTAAATTATTTTCCACAATTCACTTCAAAATAATTTTATAATAAATTATAGATCTTTGTAAATGGGTATATTTAAAAAACCCTTAAAAGGGCTACTTCAAATTACACGAACGTTTTCGGAATAATAATTCCATCAGGTTTAAAAATGCCTAAAATAAGCATAAATCGTTTATTTAAAGCAAACGTGGTTTAAAATTTTGACTAAAGTTAAAAAAAAAGCAAAAATGCTTATACTTACAAGGTTGACATGCCAGAGCCACCAAAATATCAGGGTGAAAACCCTTTAAAATGCAGTTACAAAAGATTGTACATAATGTTGTTATAAATATGTGATGTTTAATATTAAATTAAATTTGGCTTCAGGTGACATACACCCATGGTTTGAGTGAGTTCCAGTGTCCGGAGAGTAAATCTCTTCAAACGGACTTCAGCTGGTAACTGATTGACAAGATACCTATGAACGGTGTCGAAAACAAAATTTCAATGTACCATGAAACTATATTAGTTATACATAGTATTACTAAGTAGTTTATGAATCTTTTGGCTGTAGTAATACTATGTATAACTAATATAGTTTCATGGTACATTGACATTTTGTTTTCGACACCGTTCATAGATATCTTGTCAATTAGTTACCAGCTGAAGTCCGTTTGAAGAGGTTTACTCTCCGAACACTGGAACTCACTCAAACCATGGGCGTATGTTACCTAAAGTCAAATTTAATTTAATATTAAACATCACATATTTATAACAACATTATGTACAATCTTTTGTAATGCATATATTTTAAAGGGTATTTACCCTGATATTTTGGTAGCTCAGGCATGTAAACCTTGTAAGTATAACCATTTTTGCTTTTTTTAACCCTAGTCAAAATTTTAAACCACGTTTGCTTTAACTAAATGGTTTATACTTATTTTAGGCATTTTTAAACCTGATGATGGGATTATTATTCCGAAAACGTTCGTGTTATTTGATGTAGCCCTTTTAAGGGTTTTTTAAATATACCCATTTACAAAGATCTAACCTCTTTTTTGTGATACGTGGTATACAGGCAGCTGCAGGAATTATTTTCCTTGTGGATTTTTTTAATTTTATAATAAATTTAAAATTGGCACGCATGTATCCTTGATCTATTCCATAATCAATAACTCAATATAAACAGGTATAAAGTTTAGATCAGAAAATTGCTTAAAGATACCTTTCAAATAATCCGATTGATTTTGTTTTTTAGGTAACAGAACCATATGGGAGTTCGGCTGGGCATACGGAGTAGGCTGGGGAGCAGCCATCTTTCTCTTCGGAGCAGTCATCTTACTGATGTGCGACAAGGAGAGCGAAGAGATCTACTACAAAGAAAGGAAAATCGTGCACGATAACGATTCGCGTGCCTAGTGGCCACAAAGTCTGCCCGATGTTGTTCTCTGATCTTAATCGAGATGTCGCTTCTCTCAGAGAGTGTTCATTGAATGAAAGATTCGTATGAATGAATGTTGGAGTGTTTGCCTGATATATTCACAAAATTAAACTTTTTTTTTTGTTTTTATTGTTTGGTATGTTTTTGTTTAGTGCTTTTGATGCTGGTCAGTTTGATTGAACACGAAATTGCGTTATACAAATTACGATAAATTTAAACTGACATTTGGATAAGTCTATCTCGTAATATAAAAATATATTTTGGTCAGAAAGCTCATTTGGGCAAATGTCTGTTTTAATTTTATCACTTTGGTCATACTTTTGTTTATATTTTTTTGTACATTTTTCTGTTGAATGTACAGTTTTATTTTAAGTAATATATTGCTATACTTATTCCATTCCAATAGCCCTAGGTTTATTTATTAACACAACATATTATTGTAAAGCTTATTAGTACTGTATTGAAAAATCAATGACAATTGACAATTCAGGTTCTCGAATCTGAAGCATATTTTTCATATGACTCACAGTTCATGATAAGTTGGTTTCACGTCATATGCTGTGCCTTTATATTATTTGTATAATTTATTTTTGACAATGCTCTATATTGCGTTATTATAGATTTTGTTTTACCTGTTCTTACGAAATCAAACTGATTAGAAATATTAATGTATTGTTCATTTACTTGCCTGGTGAACAGTTTACCAGTCAGCAGTTTTTATAGTGGTTTAAAATTTTTTAAATGTGCTAATTTATTCCCAGTAGTCCATACAGTTTCCATTTAATTATTCATAGGAGCAAAATTACATAAGAAACTATTTCAAGACACAAAATACGTTTGTTATATCATGTAATTTTACAATGGTTAAAAAAACGAAGAGGTTTAAAAATGTTTGGCTGATAATCTATTCCATCTTCGTCGTCCAGTGCCTTCACAAAAAAAAGTTGCCAACATTTTTGTCAACAAACCTGTTTAAGCTCGGATGTTGTCATATGCGTCTATGTTTCCCATCTTATTCTCTATTATAATCTGTAGAGAGATTTATCTGTAGTGTTCATTACTTACCAAGATGTGAGCTGCAGTTCTCCAAAAATTTGAACAAATTGCTGATGTGGACAATCTAATATAGTAGACAATCGGCAATTTAACTGCTATAAACCAGTTAGTTTCACACTTAGATCGTTAAAAGTCCTTCAGTTTGACACACAAATATCGCTCTGGCATATAACTATTCAACGAGTAAAGAAGTTCGCTAGACACTCCAAAGACATGTCAGTATAAATGGAATCGAACTGAACAATTTCTTTTAGTAATAGATTAGTAGAAGTTAAATTACCAGGCCAGAAAACATGCTAACTAGTATGAAGCTGACTCTTCAGATTAACTGTCAAAAAATCAGTAAAACCTGGAAAATTTTAGGATTAACAGAAAGAGTTGTAATGGAACGATAATTAGAAATTAATGATTTAATGATGAAATCAATCAATAAATTGTGATGGTATTAGATCAGAGATTTTTTTAAAACAATCCATAAAGAGAATTCTCAATTCCTTAAAAATAAGTTAGGATATTCTACCTGGATCAAAACCTTTATTGGTATTAAGACACTGTAAGCATGCTAGAATATCACAAATTTTAATACTTAATGAATGAATATCTGTGACTGATATAGGGTCTTTGACTACACTTGTATAGATAAAAGAAAGAATATTGATTGCGGATTGTGGATACTGCTAAAAAAATTGGCAAAAGTTGAAAATGACTGTGGCTCACTAAAAACAGAATCATTCAACTTAAAGAAACAAATCCATTTCTTAACTGTGTGAATGAGTTTAACTTTGGATGTAAATTACTGACAAAATAAAATACACTTATCATAAAATTAGTTGTTAAAACAACTTTTTGTGCAATATAAATAACTTCTAAATGCAAAAAAGGACAAAAAATAGCAACAAATCAAACAATCGATCAGCCACAAGTAAACAAACCAGAAACGTTACAAATTGTACTTAAAATTCTGAAAAGGTCCCCAAGCATCTTTTCTATACCTATCTCTTAAAGAACCATGTACTCAACTATATATTATGTATAGGTATAGCCTCTAGTTGAACATAGGTATGTCCTAGAGTTTCCAGTGGGTTCGATTTTATCCCTTTGTTGTAATTATCTAGATCGCCTAATTGTTGTCCCTTTTTCTTCTAGATAGTTCATGTCTTTATCACTAGCTACTGTGATGTTTGTACCTAACTGTCTTATTTTTATGACTCAATTTTACTTTGGATATAATATTGGAACATATTTTTCTCTTAATCTTTTACTCTTCTAGCTGGATGTTTGCTATCCTTTACAATATATGATACATTCGCATTTTTGTGCTATTTGGCTATAAGAACACTTAGTTACCGCTTAAATGTTTCGGCTCTCTTTGCCATTTTCAATCAGCACTTTAATCATATAAACATTACTTTTTACAATTTATATTCATGTCTGCACTGCTTGCTAGTTTGCGATGTAATCCAAAAGTGATATTTTATCCTAAAGACACTTAAAACTATAACTGGTTGAGGGTCGTATTTCAAATATCTGCCAATGATACATTTATGAACAACTCAATTTATTGAGTTTTGATATATATTGGAAAGATCTTTTATATCGGTCATATTATTGATACAATTTTAGTTTTTTTTATATCAACCATCTCCAATATACATATTTTTTTGTAATTCTGTTCTTTTTCCAAAAGCTGTACATTTTCAAAATTAAAAGAAAAGCTATATTCTAGATAATGCTTAGTTAAGTGTTTAATTTGTTGGTTTGTACACGGTGTTTGTGTGCATCAACCCTTCTATATAGATATTGCTATGTTTGTCCAATATACGGTAAATTGCAGTCTTAACAATTTACTTTATAAACATTCGGTTTTGACGATTTACGTCCAATATTGATGTCATATTTTCCCAATATTTTCGACATTTTTACGATTCTCCAAACAAAATTTTGGCAAAATATGACGTCAATGTTATAGATAAATCGTAAAAACATCTCAAAAATATTTTTCAAAATTTAAACCCAATGGTATTAAAGATCATCAGTCGAATGTTGTTTATAAAATAAATTGTAAATACTGTAATTCAACACATATTCAGCAAACACAAGAATCATCATCATCATCATTGGTGCTGCAGCCCTATAAAAGAGTCTCCACCTCTTTTTCTACCATCCTCATCAACACCATCCCTCCATCTGAGTTTTGGCCTACCCCTACTTCTACTTCCCACAGGTTGTGACATAAAAATTCTTCTAGAAGGGTTGTTCTGCTGTGATCTTGCCAGATGTCCTGCCCATCTTAGTCTTCCTATTTTTATAAGAGATACTACGTCTTTACCACCAAATATATGTTTATATTTGTGTTATATCTCGTAGTTGTACCTTCTTCTCTAAACACCATTTTCACAGATGCCACCGAATATTCTTCTCAGGGTCCTTCGTTCAAATATAAGCAGAAGGTTTTCATTTGCCTTGGAAATGGTCCATATCTATAAACCATGTCAACACTGGTTTATAAGAGTTTTGTATATGGTTATTTTTGTTTTTTGGCTTAAGTTTCTGCGTCTCATATGTCTACTCAATCCAAAATAGCATTTGTTTGCTAGGATTATTCTTCGCTTAATTTCTTCCATCATGACGTTGTCCTTGGTGATCAGGGAGCTAAGTATGTGAATTTGTCCACCACTTCAAAGGTGGAGTTATCAACCGTGAATTAGTGGACGATGTTTCTGGCTCTATTGTTGAGTATTGATGCCATTATCTTAGTTTACTCCTCATTTACTGGCAGGCCCATATTTTTTGAGGCATTTGACAAGGTGGTATACATTTCTTCTAGCTTGCGTGTTGTGCGGGCAACTAGGTCAACATCATCTGCATATGTCAAAATTTGGGATAATTTATTAAAAATGTTTCCTCTGTTGTCTATTTGGGCATCCCTGACCGCCTTTTCCAGAGCCATGTTGAAAAGGAGACACGCCAGCGCATCTCGACTTTGCAAACAACTGTACGCATTGTAGTCTGAACTAATCTTATCAATTTATCGGGAATGTGTTGTTTTTTCATCCATTTCTGTTGCTTCGAGTTTTCTTTTATTACTTTCTGTTAGTCTCCATGTGTCTGTACCATAGGTTAAGCTGGTTTTTATGAGAGATTAATATGTATATATATATATATATATATATATATATATATATATATAATATATATATATATATATATTGTATTTTCGTCTTTTACCAATTTCTGAGCTCCAAAGAACTCCGTTAAGGCATCCAATTGTTCTACGGGCCTGAGTTATTCTTTTTCTAAAAGTATAGAACTTTAATAAAATATGTATATTGAAAATAATTCGCATAAAAAGACCAAATTTGTATCAATAATAAGTTGTTCGTAAATGCAATGTCAGCCTTGTGATTTTAGGGTAAAATATCACTTGTGCATTCCATGGCAAACTAACAAACAGTGCAGTTTATATAATTACAGTGCTTATTGAAAATGGCAAATACCCGAAACATTTAAGCAGTAGTTAATTATTTTATTTATCACAAACCGACCAACTCGGAATTTTTTTTCATTAATTTATGTATAATTCACACAGCATAATATTCAATTATACCACCACATATAAATGTATTAAATAAAATATCGAATATGATAATAGAAACATCGACTCTGTTATTCCAAGCTAATGAAATTGACTCATTTATAATGTAATTTATATAAGCTATGTGATAATTAGTTCATGTTTGTATGTATAGATTTTGTACGGAATAATATTATATTTGACTTTTAACGGATATTACAGGATTAACGGGCTAATTACGAAAACTACAGTCAAAAATTCCTCTGTAACTATGATTCTGGTGGATTAATTTTGAATATTATATTGTTTGATGTTGTATAACATTCATGATGGAACAAAGAGATTATT